ATTCTCCCTGTGGAACACAACCTTCTCACACCACCATGGAGAACGACTTGGGATTAATACTTATCGACAAGCTAGACACTAGCCCCAATGTCCAGGAGATGCCTCCAGAGCCCACGCAGCACTGCACTTCATGCGCAGACAACTGGGTGTCTTCACTGGAGAACTCTTCGAAGCTGTAAAAGACCCACATACGACTCCACTTGGGGGTGGACAACGCCACTGCACCAGAACGTCTGAAACGAGATGTGGGCATCCTGGAGAAAGTCAAGTGGCCAGCAACGAAGGGCGTCGTTGGAATGAGGCAAAAACCGCATGAGGACAGGCTGGGAGACCTAGGGCTCTACTCTCCAAGCTACCGCAGATTACCTGGTGACTTGGTAACGGCTTACAAAATATGAGTAACTCAAGCCATCCGAACAGTGGAAACCTACCGGAGGCCACTGTGACGATCCCCATGTTAACCCAAGAAGAATCGCTCATCAAGGGGCGAAAACCCGTGTTCATCCACACCTCTTCTCTCTGTGAGTTTGTGGCCGTTGTAACACATTGCCTGCCGGGATTGTTACTGCTTCATCTGTTGACAGCCTCAGAAGAGTCTGGACAGTTATGCAGCTGTGGGCGGTTCGCACTTGTCCAGCTGGGATTCGAACTATACTAACACGACCGACCAACTCAGTACCGCAAAAGCATTATCTAATGGGTTGTAACACCACTATCACTGCGAACTAAGCTCAGTCTTATACTGGCCTACAGACGTCCCCCTAGTTACCGTCTCCTACTAATAGAGTTGCTACCTCTACTCTCACAAGCCATTCGGCAAAGTTATTTGCTCTTTTTCTTCTTACTGACTTATTGTTCCCAAACTGAAATAAAAGCTCTCTCCATCACCCCTTTCCCGCGAGTCCACCGATATTTCATCTTCCGTACCGTTTCCTTTTCCGAGTCCTTTTTTATTGCTTATTTTTCTTCGCGCTTTCTCTCCCTCGATTTTTCTGGATATATTTTCTACCTCCTTACAGCCAGTCCGACCGGCTGTCTGCTGGCATGACACTCGAGGAACCCACCTGCATCGCAGTCCCTGGAAAAACATACTCCCTACAGGTTCGACCAACACCCAACTGCCCGTCGGGCTAACCTGAGCTACAGCAGGTAAGTGGGTAGACCTACTGCATCGGAAGCCACCCAAGACCTGGAAGCGTTCGGTAAGACCTTAAAGTGAGAGCGAAAAAATCACCATAATTACGCTGGCTAGTGAAAAATATCCTGGCGGGTTTCTCTGAACAGTGATGTGTTTTCGCTTGACTCTCAGCTTTTGAATTTTTCCACATTTAAAAACACTAATTCGGAACGTTTTCAGCACTCCTATTCCTGCACGCACCTCGCAGCTGCTTATTCGTCGACTCACTTCTCAACAGCTGAAAATTGGCACAATAATTTCTTCGAGCCGGCCGGTCTGCCTCCTGTCAGTGGTTCTTGGGTGTTCCAACTGTCAAACTGCCTAGCTCTCAGTTCTCTTAGAAGGTCATTCACCAGGAGACATCTTTCCTGTTTATACACACACACCTGGAGCTTACGGCTAAAATCCTTGGTAAAAAGCAGAGGAGCAAGTGACAAGTGTCTGAAGTTAAGCCAACATAAGTTGTCTTCCTTTATACATTCTGTCCCCTTGCTACATTCAGTCTTCGACCCCATTATTGCTGTCGAATATTTGTTTTCCCAAAGAGTTTGTATAATAGTGACATGTCTGCCCAAAACGCCAGATCCGAAGCTTTAACACGGATAATGCAGTCGTGCACAAAAAGGGCCCCGAAAAAACACCCTAGCCTGTACCCGCAGACAAACAGAGGTAGAGCAGGACACGTAACTTCTAAAAAGGCGGCCGACAATCCGTAGAACCTTCTCCATGGAAAGAAGGCTGCATTACGAAATAAAGTGAGGTTAACGTCGAAAGATAACGCGAAGGAACCTCAAAACAAAGCTAGATCTTTGGCTGCGCATACATCGCCACGCGAGGAGACCACATTAGGTCGATTCCGTGGACCCCGCCACGACTTCAGAGAAGGTCGAGCACATGAAAAAAGACGCCGACGGCTAGACTCTCTACGAAACCAAGCCCAAACATCCCAGACACTGTGATTGAGAAACATTCAGTAGAAATGTGCAACAAACCTACTAGGAAGCCGGGCATGCTACCCACAAAATACGCAAGCCATAGGACGGCTAACTCAGTCAACTTGCTGAGCGTCATTGCATCCTCATACTCATTGTTGATCAAGATAAAGCAGTTTGGCGGCCAAATGTGGGCCGACTACTGTCAGAATCTGGGAATCCCTCCTCTTCATGCAACACTGTGTCACTTTTCCCGCGGAAGCCGGGCACCCCGAGATACGCCATCCCCTTTACGCTTGTCCTTAAACACTGCCAAAGAGGTCGAAGACATCATTCTTCTCTCCCGACGACCGGACATTGTTATTGCCTAAAAACTTCGGGCCAGGCCTGACAAGCCATGGTCGATAAGAGAAGGGGAAAAGAAGTCAGTGGCTGGAAATCCAAACAGGGACAACACCACAGTTGTACATGGGATTCCAGCACTGCCAAGTGACCGCTCGGCTAAACATCGGTGACTCCATGACGTCCAACAATGGCAATGGCTCTCAACCGAAGTTAGTCTCTACAGCACACCGGCAAACAGCGTCAGTAGACTGCCAAAGCCAGCGCATCTGAAGCCCGTACCCACAACCAGACTACTTGCCATCCAATTCGACCCACATGTCTCCCTTGCAGACGCTCTGCATGCATGATATCATGCGAAAGGTTGCGTGGGGGGCTCATTACGTACGCGTGAAAGGAAGCCTAGACCTGTGAGGCAAGAGGAGAGATGAAAACCACCGAGACCTGCAGTCAATTGTTGTCAAGCAGGCACTGACCAGTGGGTCAGATACATCTGGCAAAGAAGCTCCCACAGCCACAGCCCACCACCCAAGTTGACAATAAATCGCAAAAACCGGAACGATGCAAGTCCTATGAAGACTAAGAGGCCAAGAGGGAAGCTATCATAGATGAGGACGCCGCGTGAACGTTAGCACTCTGACATCATATGTATCACCGAATCCTGGCTTCTGCCCGGACACCTCCAAAGAAGAGATGCATGTTATCGGCATGGAGCTCCTCCATAGGGACAGAGAGCTAAGAGCATGAGTAGTGCTTCTCTACGTAAGCCCCGTTTGAGGGCAGGGGCGGTTAGGGCGTACCGCCTTAACCAAGCTCTCAGAATCTCCTTGGCGATACATCACTCCTCAATGTACCGAATACCTGCTCGGAGTCATATATCGGCCCCCCGCCAGCCTTCCTACATATAAGGAAATGGTCATCAAGGCAAACTTAAAGACTTCCTCTGCAGATTACGATTCCATGACCATTGCCGGCGCCTTTACAACCCGTTCATCCTCTTCGAGATGGAAGGGAGTCACACTGGATCCTTCAATCACAAACTGAAGAGTGCAATTAAATATCAAAGAGCCAACGCCATACTCAGATCCTACTTTTTCTCCCTGAGACCGTGTGTTTCATGGAATGCCTTACCGTGTCATGTAGTTATTGCTCCGTCATTCGACTCATTCAGGAGACCGTTGGACGGTTATATCGCTACGCACCATTTACCGTGGACGTACTCATGTAGTCATCAACCTGATTGGCCCACCCCCAACTTCCTCCTACCCACGAATTACTGTCTCTCTCCTTAACAGATACATATTCCCTACAAAAAAACCACGAATTTCACCTAAATGTTTATAACTTCATCATACGCTTGTACATAGGTATATAACAAGTTAATACCTGGTCAAATATCCTCTAATCTTTCTATTTCATAGTGATATCTTCAGCTTCAGACTGACTTTCATTACTGTCGTGCGCACCTTCATCTTCTTCCACCTAAGCTTACCTCTAAACAGTTGGTTCTGGACACTTCCTCAAGTAAGTTTAACAGTCAGTACAAACTCACCCAGATGTATCATGGTCGATCTACTCCTGCGTACTTTTGTGCTCCTGTTACATATTTCGCCTGCTGCTCGCTTTTGTTATTCACTTTTCAGATTTACTTAACCAGTCCTGCATTCAAATGGAATCCTACAAATCGCATTCGTCAGCGGGAAATGTTGCCATCAAAACCTGATGACGAACGCGCACACCTCAAGGTCATGACTGTGATGCGGCCTCACCTTCAAGAATATCAGATGATTCAAACGATGACCGGATAATCTTCAAATTCGAACTGAGCCTGCTTCAACATGCCTCCTATATGCCATCAATCACAGCATCTAATGTATAGCATAACATTGTACATAATAGTCATCTCTCATTACCAAAGTGATCAAACCTTTAAAATGGTTTGTATTCATGTAACCTTTGTTGTATGAAATATATTATTATTATTATTATTAATTCTCCTGTAGGAACTAAACCCAAGCTACCGTTCGAGGAATTCTCAAAGACTTTTCTGCCCCTTTTATCTCTCCTCTCGACCCACTCTTTTCCTTTCTCCTCCTTTATTTTCTCTTTTCTGCTTCAGCCCTTCACCACCGCCTTACTATTCTTATTCAGGCACCTACATAGACAGGAGTCACAGCAGTCCCCTAATCCTCCCAGCAACCCGTAGCTCCCCAGTCACTCTACATATTACATCTTACTAACCGACAAAACATCCACCTCACCGAGGCCAAAGGCAAGAGAGCGGAGGGGATTTCCTCGTCCACTGCATGACTGAACCGAAAAAATCGATTCAAGCCTTAAGAACTAGACACGAGAAACCTAATACTATCAGCTTTCTACTCTCGCACTATCAATATTGAACATTAAGATGTCACCGAATCTTAAGCCATTAGTTTGGGTGGATCTATTTACCATCACAGCATCTGCTTCATAGTTTTGTGCAGGAAGCATTTTGTATTCCTGGTCACGTTTCTCCAGTCGCCAGTTTTCGTTTGAAGCAGTTACTATGACTTCAAGGTTAGCGGTGGTACGAATGCTCTTCTTAGCTCCGAGTTAAATGGTAAGTTGTATACTGTGAAAGGTGATAATTCTGAACACTGCCTGTTACAAAATAGCACGAAATTACCAACTGTTTCCTGTTTTTTGTGTTTGAATTTTCTGGAAATAGCCCTCATTTTTAATCTGGATAAATGCCGAACCATGTTTCTCCACACCCCTGATTCTCAGAAAGTACCTTATTCTCCCTGTGGAACACAACCTTCCCACACCAGCATGGAGAAAGACCTAGGACTAATACTTATCGACAAGCTAGACACTAGCCCCAATGTCCAGGAGATGCCCCCAGAGCCTACGCAGCATTGCACTTTATGCGCAGACAAATGGTGGTTATTGACGGAATAGAAGAAGCTTTCGCTTAACTGGCTTCCGCGTCTACAATCCGTGGATCACTACTCCTTTCGGTTGTTAACCTGTTGTACATGTAAAGAAAGGTGAAAAAGTGTCGATTAAAATGTGAAAATTCACTTAGTTCTTGGCAGATCCCAGATACACATCAAGTGGGTATGCAGTCGGCGTTTAAAAGAATCAGACGAAGTAGCCTGGATCACATCTTCAGGAAAAACGTTCCAGGGTTTAACAACTCCCTCAGACTCGCTGATGCAGACTCAAAAGAATTCGATCCTAAAGGCGTTCTCATCATGCGTCGATATCACCTAGAGTATCTACAAGTGATGAATAGCTGTTTCACTCTAGCCTGATGTTACTAAGCAGTACACACTTAGGATTCCAAATCCCGGTATTTTATCTTATTTCGGAATCCACTGTACCTCAGACTCGTAAACGGGTAGGCTTTACGTAATTTTTTCATAATAATGTTAGTTTGAATAAGAGAAGCGAACTCCAAGCGTTGAAAATCGCATATCAAAGGTTTTTTCCCAGTTTGAGTCTTAATTTTCATTGTAAAATAAGTCTGCAGACAGCAGTCACTACCAAATCAACCACGCAGCAGTAAATAAGCTAGGATCTCAGGGGTAGTGATTTTATAGTGATTATGACTCACAATCTACTGCTAGAGCAGCACTGCTGACACTCTTGTGACATATTCTACATACATTTTTAGAGATCGTCATGTTAAATAGTAGAAGCGGAAAGAGAGTAGTAACACGAAGTTACACCAAACTACTGAATCACACTGGTAAGCGAAATAGCTTTCATACAAAGGAAAAACGATGAAATATCGAGAAAACAGTGCAGATGGATGGTAGAGACAACAAGCTCTTTGTGTGTGTCCGAACAGAAAAACGACCATGACAGAAAACTGGAAGCTCTCTCAGTAATTAGATCTTAGGAAATACTCACAGAGTCCAGCGACAAAAGAATTATGGTTAGAGATCATTTATGATTACTATGTTCGGGCAGACACTGTACAGGTCATGAAATTTAGTAAACCCGTTCAAAATACTTCTGACATTTTCAAGCAAACATTTTCAAACCTCAAGGCTTTGAAACGCTGGCACCATGTAAAAATGTAAGCAGATGAAAAACAGAGTCATCTGGCTTAGCTTAGTGTACAACCTGGAACCAACCAAGAAGCATAACATAGGGATAAGACTGCTGATCCCATTATATTAGCCTCAAGTCAGTCACTTGTAGACACATAAAACGTGAAATGAGCAGTTTTTACAACAGCAATTCACGCTGTAACTTCTTTTCAGAAAACAGACATATATCAACGTAGGTATAAGTAAATCAAGGGTATAGTGTTTTTCAACTCATACTTTTTTAGACTGACCCAAAATCCAGTCTCAAGAGTTTCATAAAAGTGAGACGGATGAGGAACGAGACTCAGTGCATTGCAACCCATATAAGACTTGAGATAGTTTCCTGATATGGAAGTGGAATGAAATTATTTCACTTCAGTTCCTTATAAAAACGTGGAATCAGAGCTTACAGCTTGTTAATGAAAAACTTTGCATTGATTATCGCCAAAATAATATACATAAGAGTACTGCTTTGCTAGTTTACTTTTCAACTGCGTATCTGTACACCCGTACCAGTTAACAAACACACTGATATTCGGAGTAATTTGAAGTCATTTTTACTAACTTTCCTGTGTGTCTCTATTTTGAATTTATCCTATTCACGAATAACCGTACAAACAATATCAAAGGAATTAGGTCTAAAACTGCAATTAACTAGGCTAATTAGAATGCTGTGTATAGGATAAAAATTCACGGTCTTAATTCAATAGGTTTACATATTTTTATTAATTTTAAGATTTTTTATTCAAGTGTATCATTAGCTAAAAGTTTAGGGAATACCGCTTATAAAGTAGTTAGAATGCAAGTGTAGTTTGCGCTGTGTCCCTTTATATCAGAGTTACGACCATTAAAGTTGTAATACATGAGGCTCTTAAATGCACTTCATAAACAGTTCCATCATGAAATTTATTCTCTCTGGGATAGACACAAGTAATGCACAGGTCTGACATAAATTGTCAGGTAAGGAAGTGAAATTAGCCGATGAAGTAATGGATAAGCATCGACTGAAATGTGCGGGACATGCAGTAAGTATACTTGGTGACCTTCTTATTCGACAAACAGGATTGGCTTAGAAAGTTTCAAGGTCAAGGCGTGGCGAAGTGCTTACTCATGAACTCAGTGTCTGTCAGTTTAGGTTGTCTAACGAAGTATATCATACTTGGCTGAGATTGTGAAATGTTTCGAACCAATGGTTCTAAGGCCTAGATAATACGATGCAGAACCAGAATAGTGCAAATATATAGTAATAATAATAAAAGTACTCTTTTTTAAGCGATGTGTGTGACATAGTATGGAATTCTCAGCATATGATTTTTTGACAAAGTCACTCACAGTTCAATATTTTAAGGCGAAATTGTTGTTGCATCTCAGTGATGTTAATAATAACAGTATTCAAAGTAATACTATGAAACGGCCAGTTGATTTTGGGTTAGCATCCTGTTCATAATGAAGAATCAGTAAAAACGCAAGTGTAAGTTTGGTGGTGGCAGTTCATTTAACCAATACAAGAATCCGCAACTCAAACTAAGTACCTAAATAACAGAAATATGATGTACTTTTTTGCACTGAAAAGTCCACTTGCATATAACACGACACTTTTTCTCTGTTTTGTTATTAACTAGAGAAACGGCGAGTTTAAAAGACTTTTAAAATGTGCAAGGGTACATGATGCGTTCAGAGGACATATTTAAATAATTAAAACAAATTGAAAGGAAAAGTTTGATAGATATAATTCGGTAAAATATCTTGGTAGCTCAAAGTTCAAGGAGGCTGCCTTGATATATATACTGTTTATCATATTTACAATTTTGAACATCTTATGAATTATTAGAATATCGTTGTCTACAGAGATCCTATTCATATGCTAAGATACGCATATGTAGGCTACGTGGGATCGTGAAGGTGTTAGAAATTCCTAAATGAATACCCCAAGTCGTATGGCTATTTAGTATATCACAGAGACGAAGATGCATTCATCTTTTAACATCCTTTAAAATCCCAATATTTTCGTTAGTCCTTAATTTTAATTATCTCTTCACTCGTATACTTTTTTCATATATTTTGATCTACTCAATTTCTGCTCACCTCTATGTTCTTTTCTAAACTGATACCTGAATATCTGGTAGTGAAACCAGACAAATTAATGAGAATTCAAAATGTTGAAAGAATCTTGAGATGACTCAGTTAGTGTCAGCAAGACTAAATAAGACAACTGTTTATTTTACTTTATGATCACAGTGCATATGAACACTAATACTGACTTATACCTTACGTATTGTTTGCAGGTCATGCCTCGACAAGTGAGTTTAGCCTCAAGCAAACAGCTGGAAGAATAAGAGTTAGGTACAGAAAGAGATGCTCACTTTCGAATCAAAAAATAACTCAATGAAAAAGTCACCTAATTTGTACACGAATATTAACTCGCCTACCACTTCAAAAAGCTCTTGAACCGACCACCACCTGCACTTCGTCCAGAAAAGCCACCTGCAGCCACAGAACTACAAGTGAACACAAATCCTCCAACGAAAGTTGAAATCCTGAGAGCCATAAAGCTACTGAAATGTGGGAAAGCAGTAGGACCTGATGGGATCCCACCAAAAGCACTGAGAACAGACGCAGAGACAACAGAGGACATGCTCACACCACTACTGCAGAAGGAAGGAAAGGTACCTGCCTATTGATTGGAAGAAGGGCTACCTTGTCAAACTCCCCGAAGAAGGGCGACCTAAGTCTTTGCAAGAACTGGCGAGGAATCACTCTCCTGTTCACCCCAAGCAAAATATTAAGCCACATCATCCTGGAGAGACTAAAGGATGCGCTCGATTCAAAACTACGACTGAAACAGGCAGGCTTCAGGAAGTACAAATCATGTGCGGATCAAATTGCAATGCCTCGCATCATCATAGAACAGAGTATAGAATGGCAGTCAACCCTCTTCCTCAACTCCATCGACTTTGGAAAGGCCTTCGACAGCGTCGACTGAGAGGTAATTTGGGAGCTGCTTCAATACTACGGTTTTAGTGCCACAAACCTTTATCAGCCTCATTCAACAACTATATGAAGATGCCACATGCCAAGTAATTCACAATGGGAAGCTCAGTGATGATTTTGAAGTGAAGACAGGAGTGAAACAAGGTTGCCTACTATCCCCCATGATATTCCTGATTGTAATGGAATGGGTCATACAGCAAACAGTGAGGAGCGAGAAGAGGAGGATACACTGAACCGCTGAAAAAAACCTAGATTTAGATTTGGCTGATGACTTGTGTCTAATGTCACACAAACGCGAAGATCTACAGGCGAAAACTAACAAATTGACAGAAGAGGCAGGGCAGCGAAGACGAGACTTCAAGTGAATGTAGAGAAGATAGAGGTGATGATGATACCCAACCAACAACAACAACAACAAGCTCCAATCACCATCAACGGGAGAAACTTGAAGGAAGTAGCCTCTTTCACCTATCTAGGTAGCACTGTTTCAACCACAGGCGGCACAGATGAGAACGTCAAAGCCAGGATCGGAATCATAGTGAGACAGGTGTTCATTAGCTTGAAATTAGTGTGGAGATCTTCTGCACTCAGCATAAAGAACAAGATCCGGATTTCCAACACCAACGTCAAGTCAGTGCTTCTGTATGGCTCAGAGACTTAACGCGTTACGAAAGGGATTTCCAACAAACTATAGACATTCATCAACAACTGCCTACGCTCGTTCTTGAAGATCAGATGGCCAGAATAATAAGAATAAGCAACAAGGAACTCTGGGAAGAGAACCAACGAAGCAAGAACCCATCGCCCAACGAATATGCAGAAGAAAATGGAGATGGATTAAGTTGGGTTGGGCACACACTGAGAAGGCCGACTGGGGACATCACACGCCAGACCCTCGAGTAGAACCCAGGTGGGAAACGACGAGTTGGGTGTCGAGGCGAGGGTGACATGGAGGAGATCGTGCGAGGAGGAAATGAGAGCTTGTGGGCTGTCGTGGAACCAGTTTCAAAAGTTTGCAGAGAATAGAGTGCACTGGAGACGTGCTACTGAAGCCCTATGTTCCGTTAGGAACCCAAGAGACATATAGTATAATAATAGTAATACTATTTTAAAGAGCTACTACTCGTCATTTTATTAATACGGCAATTACAGTTTGACTGAAGGAACTGTACTTCAACTAATTTCTAAGGAAGATATGTGTTTTATTTTACAACAATAAATTTCAAAAGACTTTAAGGATGGAATATTATGATTTCCATTTTCAATCTTTCGTTACGCTAAAAATAATTAAGTAACAGCTGAAAAGTGTTATAAAAAAGCAGAATCTAAGCACTTTGGTTGAACATAATCCCATATGCAATGAATCTGTTTGATGTAGCACAGAAGGAAACAGTTTTCTTTGCTGGATGACATTACCAGCGTAATTTACTTGTTATGGTCGTATCATGGTGTGCTATGTCAAATAGATTTATTGAGTGTGGAAGAAAAATTTGTCCAATATCTATCGTTAAAAATTATGTTCAATTACTTGAAGTATATTTATCCGTGAAAATTATTCAGAAAATAACAATTCAAGCGAAAATCATTTCTTAAAATTTTTTTAGCCTAAGTTTAAAGGCAAATTAAAAGTGAAAAGAGGAACAGCGAAAAAGTCCGGAAAGACTAAGCGTAAAACTGGAGGTTCATTAAAACAACGCAAGCCCAAACGTCAGATTGATATATTAAGTAAAGATGCCATGGAAAATTTATATTACATTGCGCATAATGCTCCAAGCTCACTTATTTACCGTGGTTTTCGTTGGTCAGGAGCAAAACCGAAAAAAAAGAAAGGCAAAAGAAAAGGTAGAAAGAAAAATTGATTACTTTTAAATATCGATCATGATACAAGATGCTTCCTACCAGATTTGATCTAATATTTATTTATTTATTAACTGATTTCAATATTTATACAACATTTTTACCCTATATTTATAATTATTGTCTTCCAAAGTATAGAATGTGCAAATAAAACTGCGAAAAAAAAACAACATATTAGCTTTTTTATACATCAATAGCACAAAATTTTAACAGATACATGAAGACATGATGAATGATATCTTATCAACATGATTTGATCAATCATCAGAAAATATTTCACACACTTTCTTACTTCATTTGATATAAAGCTGATTCACTTTATATTCCTATAGTTGAAATATAACCAAAGATATCAGCTTTTTTTATTCAAAACAATTTTCATGAAAAAAACACGAAATTTCAAAGATACATTCACAAAAGTACTTAATTAGTATTAGCTGTTCACATTTCTTCGAACCTTCAAAGAATTATAGTTATACAGTGAAACATCCTACATTTATATTCTACTCCAGAACTAAAAGACAGAAATCCTGAACAATCAGCTTTCCTAAGAGTTATAGTTAAAAAGTGGGTGAAAGTTTTCTGAAAATAGGATTATCAGTGGTAAAAAAACAAGTCAACTAAGACATTATTTATTTTACTCCTGTTTGTCCTATATGAAAAATCTTAAATAAAATAAACATTTTCTAATATCATTTTAGTCATTTTATTAGAAATGTCATACAGTAAAATAGTGTCATCTACTGAGTAACGTTTCGGACATAATTTATTGTCCATATTATTGTGATGTAACTTCACAACTTTGAGACATTTCTTATATTGTTCTCTCCTTCTTTGGTATTACAATCTACTACAGAGCCCAAGTTTTACTCCTATATTATACACATTCTAGTTATCAGGTATATCCTCTCTGTTCGTGCTTCATGGGGGTGAAAAGGTATGTTCCTATTAGGTTTGTTTATTTGATATATAGCTCACAGTGAAACATTATTATTATTATTGTTAGGATCATTGTGCACTATATATCAAATGAACAAATCTAATATGGAATAACATCCTAACACAATGACCAAGTTTAACACATATTAGTGAAACGTACGTGACTAAACCGATTACTCAACCGAAACCTGCAACAAGAATGACAGCACAAAACTCAGATATCTGGAGAATATATATATATATATATATATATATATATATATATATATATATATATATATGCAGAGAAAGAGAAAGTAATGAGGTTATGTGTTAGGTAGAAATAATTTAACTCAGTACGTATCTTTGCACTGAGCTACCAGCCACACTAGTTGTTTGATAGCTTTTAATTCTAATCAGTTCCCCAGGTCGAAGCAGGTGGCTCAGGATTTGAACCCAAATTACCTATTGTTAATCTTCTTTGATTATATTGTTCGCATGTCACCTGTTAACAAGGTCGATGAATGAATACGCTTGTTATGATTTACCTTCAGTAAATGTAGGTCAAGACCATATTTGAAAAGTTGATAAGTGAGAGGCAAAACTGATTGCGTGACAAAATTCCTGAACAAACAAGTCTACAGAGTAGATACTAAATGCTTTAATTCTTTCCATCGTCTTTCGACTGCAGGAATTCATGTATATGCTTTAGCTAGTGAATAACTTCTTGTTGCCTACTACTACTTGATATAGATCAGATCTAACTAAGCAAAGTAAATCCCAACAATAAAGTTAGACATAATTATTTCGACTACTTTTAATTGATTTAATTACGGAAACGAAAAGACGAACAGTACTAGACTGCAACATTTTTAAACAACACAAGCGTTATAAGAGATCCACTATACCAGTAGGAGTCTTAAGATTATACGAACAGGGTTAAGATGAAGATTTATGAGTACGATTAGTTCAATACCAGGTGATTAATGTACTATAGTCAATGATTCCGTGTGTCATAAGGATATATCCTCTCAACCTTCCTTAAAAAAGTTGGGTCGACAGTAGGAAAATTCATTGGTTTTTGTTTATTTAACAATGTTGTGAAGGTGAAGCATGATCTGCATTCCCAGTTCATGATACATATCTCAATGTACCATATCGACAGCTGCAGATCACCTCCGATCACTACCATCTGAGGATCTATCAACCGAGTTACGAAACACATTTAGTTTGCTATATTTGAAGATGCTATTATAAAAATATTTGTAAGTAAATATAGCTCAACAGCCATATGCAGGTTTCTGTGAGCTGCAATTACTGTGACAGTTGACGATAACTCTTTACCTCAACTTCATAGATTTTGAAAAGACCTTCGACAGCGTCGATCGAGAAGTAATTTGCCAGCTGCTTCAACACTACGGAATATCATAAACCTTTATCAACCTCACTCAACAGCTATATGAAGATGCCAAGTGATTCACAGTGAAAGCTCAGTGACGCCTTTGAAGTGAAGACAGGAGTAAGACAAGGTTGCCGCCTACTATCACCGTTCATCTTCCTAATTGTGGTCAACCGGACTGGATTATGCAGCAAACCGTGAGGAGCGATAAGATGGGGATACGCTGGTTGGCCGATGAAAAGAACCTAGAAGATTTGGATTTTGCCGATGATTTATGTCTAATGTCGCATAAGCTTGGAGATCTACAGGCAAAAAGCAACAAGTTGACAGAAGTGGCGGAGCAGCGAAGACGGACTTCCTTCTGGTGAACGTACAGAAGACAGAGGTGGTGAAGATACCCAACCAACAACAATAACAACAAGCACCAATCACCATCAACGGGAGGAACCTAAATGAAGTTGTCTCTTTCACCTACCACCTGGGTAGCATCGTTTCAACTACAGGCGGCGGGGGCGGCACAGATGAGGATGTCAAAGTAGCCAGGATCGGAAAGACAGCGAGACAGGCTTTCCTTCATTAATCTGAAATCAGTATGGAGATCTACTGCACTTAGCATAAAGTGTGAACGAGATCCAAATTTCCAACACTAATTCCGTCAGGTCAGTGCTTCTATATGGTTCAGAAACTTGGCGCGTTACGAAAAGGATTTCCAACAAACTACAGACATTCATCAACAGCTGCCTACTCTCGATGCTGAAGATCAGACGGCCAGAAAGAATAAACAGTAAGAGACTCAAGAAGCGAACCAACGAAGCAAGAACCTATCACCCAACAAATATGCGGAAGAAAGTTGAGATGGATTGAACTGAGGATACAATTAGGAAACCATTCGGTGACATCACGCGCCAGGCCGTCGAGTGGAACCTGCATGGAAAACGACGAGTTGGGCGTTTGAGGATGACATACAGGAGATCACGTGAGGAAGAAATGAGAGCTTCTGGGCAGTCGTGGAGCCAGGTTGAAAAGGCCGCAGAGAAGAGAGTGAAGTGGAGACGTGCTACTGAAGCCCTATGTTCCATTAAGAACCAAGGGACTAATAATAAAAATAGTAATGACGATAATAAATGGCTGCTCGAGCAGAGTTAAAACCCACAACCCAATGGTTAGAAGTCAGTTGCTACGGTTTCACAAAAATCATTCAATATATTTGATATCATTTTCTTTCACGAATACTATTCAGCTGAATAATCTAAAAGTACAATGGTTATAAGAACATAAGTTATTTCAAAGCTTTTGAGATGTACAACAAACTCACTGGTATTCATTTTGAAAGTGTATGAGGATTTATTAAATAAATTCAGCTTGGTTTTCATCATGGACTGACATCAGGTGGAGAAACAATGGAAACCTGGGAGGATTGGACAACTGTTTCATCCTATTGATGGGCTCCTTAGCTGTACGCACCCAGGACCTAGAAGGAAGTAGCTGTTCAGTGCTCCCAGATTTCCAGTGTTTCTGAAACTAATATGAGTTCATGATGAACACCAACCTGAAATCAAATCATTGATAATTCATGTAACATATAAAGGAATTAAGTGTACAGAGATAGATAAGGAAGAATTTTAATCATGAATAAGAACAAGACATGTGTCAGCGAAGAAATATTTCTTTCCAATGACTTTATTATCAAGCTGTACAGTCGTATTTATACTCGATAAAGTGACAGGTAATTGCACTTAAAAGTTGCTCTACCAATATGAAACATATACACTAGGTGTAGGTCGTGGTATTTGTTCAACTGGAAGAAAGAGAAAATGGGCCACTGATTAAGGAGGAACAAGTTAATAACAAGTGGTGAGATAAGAGATACATGCTGTCAAAAAATTGCAAAACGGTGATAATTTAGCTGAAAAATGCAGATTAGGTCGATGAATAAGGTATGAATTGATATTAAATAGTGAAATATGGGTCAAATGTTGTCAATGAAGTGAAAAATTAGTGGTAATGATGATAATAAAAGAGAAGTATAGCAAAGTGAAGTGAAATTGACAAAATCACTAAAATGAATTGTTAAGGGAAAGGTAGAGAAAGTGGTTTCACAAAATGTTCTTTAATGCAAAGTTTCGGTTTTTGTTCATGTATAGCTAATGCTTCAGCTATGCATAATTGGTGGAAACGTAAACCTTTGGGGTAGTTCAATTTAACTTTGTAAATTCCTTTAAGGATGAATCTCGAGATGCTGAATAACCTGATTCAACTAGGTGTTCATATATGGATGAAGTCGTTTTCCCTTGCTCGCCAAACCGGGTATTGTTCAGCTACACGTTTTCGGAGGGCCCGCTTACAACGTCCAATATAGTCAGCTCCACAAGAGCATGGAAACTTGTGGAGACACATAGATGTAGACATAAGTGGAAGCACATCCTTCACTCATTGAGGAATCTCTACCTTGCCCTTAACAATTATGTCATTTTACCGAGTATAAATACGACTGTACAGCTTGACAATGAAGTCATTGCAAAGAAATATTTCTTTGCTGACACATGTCTTGTTCTTATTCATGATTAAACTTTTGAAAAAAAATAGTAATAACAAGTAAATACAGTTATTTAACTAGAATGAAAATGAAATAGGATCAAATCACAGTCAACATGGAAGTGACAGATTAACCACACACGCCTTCTGTTATACAAAAGCTAGGTTGAAAGCGTTTTATAGCAATCCCTTCTACGAAACGCAGTTATCTAAACACTTTCCGTAAGTTTATTACTTTAAAAGCACTTGAAGTTTCAACCTGACGTCCTGTGTCTACAAGGTATCTGGCACTGGTTAGAATTTTTTTTCAAGCACACATTCTGGGGAATGTGCTCAGTGAACCGAATGGATGTCCTCATCCCTGTCCTTCCCATAGTATATTGTCAGGTAGCAAGTATTGCTACCGCAACCGCATGTGAATTTACAGATACAGTTGGTGCCATACATAAAATGGAGCTTTCTCGAAATTATATGAACACAATGGATCAACTTGGAATTTCATACTTACCTCAGTAATTTCGAAGAAGTAGTAGTAAATATGTAAATAAGCGAAAACAAAAAGGATACTATTAAGCCGCTTGCTACATATTCCAAATAAGAACACCAACCCAGTTCAATATAAAAAATAAAAGACTGCAGTAGACCTAACTAACATGTTGATTGGGGCCACAAAGAATGATTCTAGCTAGGCACATAATTCCCTTATTGGGATGATGACTACAGGTGTGATTCATATGGAAGGAACACCGATTTAGACGACAATAGGTTGTGAAGGTTTCCAACTTTAGACAGCGTTAGAAAATCAAGCGATATTAAAGGACTTTTGATGTCCGAATCCCATTAATACGATCATACTTCAACCATATCATTCTTATTCGCATCTTGAAACTTGGTGGTTTACAGAGTAATCCCCTACTAGAGTGACTTCTAAGCTTAAAATTCACCATCAAAGTATCAGTCATAAATATTTCCAGGTTTAGTTCGTGTAATTTTTAATTGATGGTTAAAAGTTCACGTACTTCGAAAAATGGGAAAACTCACGCCATCCACCAGTTGATGACATCTCTTACTGTTAGTCTGAGTAGTGTTGGGAGATGCTGACTATCTGGCTGCGGTCCCTGAGACTGTAGGAATCAGGATGTGAGAACTCTCGGTAACATGGCTGGAAATCGGTCACAATGGCGCAGATTTGTTTACTCTTTGACACCTTTTAAAGCTTGAATATTCGTATTCACCTTCATCTTCAAATTGTTTATTCTCTCACATAACTTTGTCTGCTTTGATATCACTCTTTTCCTATTCACCTGTTTTTTGTATACTGCTGTGACAACTTGAGCCAATGCACCGGTGTGCGAGGTCCTAAGTTCATTTTTTCAGTCAGTCATACCAGGCTATTAATTAAATTCAATACATAAAGTCTGTCGAAGCTAACAGCGTAATAAAAGCTTGGCTGGAGGTGTGTATTATAACGGGTAAAAGAAGGGAAAATAGAAATATCAGACAAACTTATCGCCCGTATCATTTCACTTTTTTAAAAGGATATCTTACTGAGGATCCATTTAATAGCTCAGCTCAGTACAGTTTTACTGACCTCCCACTCAATTGCGTACGATTCATGATCACAAAATAATTGCAAACTAAATGGAATAGATGATTACGTATTATCCAAATTTTTAACATCATATGAGTTATTTTGATGAATTATAGTGCTCTGTGAACATGATATTAAGTTGCATATTTGTATGACTTAAGTGGCATGAATAAAAGGAAGGTGGGCCATTAGTCTTTCTCCCACATTATACAACGGGAGAGGATGGAAAACTGACAGTCAAAGGATTGAAAATATCTCGTCTTGCGTCCAGTAACTGACAGGTGAGGCCGAAGAGTAGTATGAAGATATTCAGACAGTAAAGTGTAAAGAAAGTTATAATCACGTGGCAGCACCAGTGGGACATTTTGCAGTCGTCAACTGAAACATGTGATATCATGGCATATTTGTCTGTTCGTAGTTATAACAGCATAGATTCAAAAGTAGAATCAAACGAATACAAAATGAACGATTAGATCACTGAGCTACCGCTCTATGGGATAACTAGCGGAGTCTCAGTTTAGTGTGTTATTCTGATTGGGATGCGACAAACTGAAATAATATTGAGTTTGTGAATTAGCAACATATTTCCTAACCAACCACCGACTATAAGCTGAACAAATGAAGTTGCTGAGTGCTAGTCCCGTTAAGTGAACTATCTCTTATTTTCCAGCTGCTTGGCCTGGTACCTAATCAACCATTTTTCAATGCTACATTTGGCATCAAGGCAACCATTTAGTACAAGTTTCACCAAAACTATCGTCTTCGAGATAGAGCCAGTAGCACCTTAGGTGTTCATATACTGATAACAAAACAAATGAAAATATTCGATAGTTCTTAGTAAAGATTACAAGACAATTTGTCAGTATTTAGATGTCAATTAAATAATAAAGTAATCAACATAGAATTGAAGCATACGTGTTACGGATATCTAATCCCTAAGAATAACCAAGTTATAATAAGTTTATATTATCACTGCAAATTTAAAGCTTATTTTCGCACCATGCTGTCACTTATTTTGACCATAGTTTAGGATAATAAACGCTGATTGGTCCATTTCACACCTTAAATATGCTATTTTGTTTTCCCTGGCCAAGACCATCTAAGAATATATGAAGGACTGAGTTTTCAGCTACGATTATTCAGTTGAGGTAAATATACTTTCAACACCATCGTCTTCCGCTGTCAGCTGAATATCGAGTTGAGACGTCACTGCTCTATCGATAACCGTATCGCGTCGGAGCATTGCTTAGTTATATATACCGTGGATCATAACAATATGGTGATTAATATCAGTTTTCTTAGGTCAATGTTCTACAAATATTATGTAGATAGTTCGGGTTACTTACTTTTTATTTCAATCGAAAATTAAGTAGTCGAATACGTACTTGCTACTTACTATACGATTGTTTCGCTTTATCTGATTTTCAGATAAACAGAGATAATACAATAACATGTAATTACAGTCGGATCAAAGTGTATCTCCGGTGGTTAATTCGGTCAAGCAGGATGTAAGAGGCTGCTAACAAAGATAGGGTCAAATATAATTTACATACTGACTTTCAGTCGATACCCGTAAACCCATGATTACTAAGTTAAAAACCGTCAACAACAACGTGAGGTGAGGAATTACACCGAAGTTTTTTTATGCACCCACAGTACCTAACAGTCAATGAGAGGAGTGGATGCTGGTGTCTTAGAAGTCACTTTTACTTTACAAATTACGGATGCTTGCATTTCCAACATTTACTTGTCAGTGCAGTTCCTCTTGACGTGAAAAGGTAGTTTATATGTTCTGTTCATCTTTATTGAGGGAAAAGTCGAAGAAAACGAAGCATTCAAGAGGGTAGAGTTGATAGAAGCTACGGAAGAATTCAGAAAATAAAAAGCGACAGAGAGATGTTGGGAGAATTTCCTGGAACACCCGTAAACAGTTACAGATTTATCTACAAAGTAATCTGGTTGGAAGATGAACAAAAAATATAGATGGTTGATAACTACTGCCACCACATTAGAACTGATGAATAACAACACCCTTATTAGAAAATATGATGGTTGATAAACATCCTTTTATGATTGCCTAGACATTCAAACCTGAACTATGAATTCATATTCAATGCACGTTTTAGAAGTATACGATAGATCTTGATGGAAACATTGGTTGCAGATATCCCTTTTCATAACCGAAGGGAAATTATTAAAGGTTACAAAGTTTTAGGGAAAAAGGCGTGATGAAATTTAGAACGGTCACTTCCACACTATATCATCAACTGCAACAGCAGAAAGACAGTGCTGATAATTTTCTGAATGTGAATATAAGTGTAGATATGAAAAACTTCAAACTACATCGAAGAAGAATTATCAAGCTGTGATAAAAATAACTTAGTACTAATGCTATCCCAGCTGGAAAAATTTAGCCCAAGTGAAGCATTAACGAGTAGTAAGGAGTTTGTAGGTGACTAGATCAACATATGGAACATAAACATCAACAGTTTGCTTTAACCATACACACCTAGAGATAAGAGTTAAAGGTGAAAATAGTCACCAGAAGGCTCAAAATTGATCACAAGAGGTGGAGATAGATATTCACTATATACTTTCTGCTCACCAATTAATAACCTATCCTGAGTCAATTCTTTCCCATTATGCCTATTTTCTTCCTGTAATTTCAGAGATGTTTCTTGTCCCAAGACTGTTGAAGTATTAGAAATCGAATTCATACACTTTTGTGTGAGACTTCATATTGCTGTGTAAGCTCGAACAAATTTATCAGTCAATATAGCACTGCATATTCAGCATATCTGGTTACTGTATCAATATGCTATCACTGGTATTCCACTTTATTATTAGTCAAGTTTAAGCAACTCCAAAAGATCCGTACATAACCCCAAAAATATACGGTAAGTGTAAATATCGTTAGTATTTACCGATAAACGAGATAAGTGATGAAATCCTAATTTAACCAACTTTTTCAGAAACCATTCAACCTGCAGAAGTCACATTCAAAACACGAAAACGTTATGTTAGTAAACTGATTTTTATGAGAAAAGTTGGTGGGATTTACTGATAGAAAACAACTACGAAGATGAAAATAACACTTCTATCGTCTGAACACCTACCTTAACAACAGTATCTTTACACATTTCAAAATTTAAAATTCCCTCAAATGTTCTATATTAATAGTGAAATTTGTGGAAGATGAAGTCCAAGTGGAGAAGCAATTAAACTAAACCACATAATCATATACTTTACCGGATCTATAGACTGAGAAGCTGTTGAAGAAAACACCTCACTCATGAGACTAGCAGTTTTACAAGGATGAAACTGATAGAATGGAACACCCAGATATGGATGTTCGATTTCACTGAGACCAGACAAAGGTAGTGGGTCTATTGAAATCGGGAAAGCAGAGGATCGGAGGTTTTCACTCCAAAATTTGTTATGATGTAATGAACGACCGCTTTTTGTCTGAAAACGGATGAGAAGGACAGGAACTTGATAGCTTTGACTATGAACCACACGATACTCCACTAAAATCACATCTGAAAATGAGGAATCCCAATTTGATTTGTCGAGTGGTATAGGTTTTCGGCAAACCATTTCTAGTTCACCCAGATGTCCTACGAATTCATCAATAAACCATTCCTCATAATCGTTAGAATCACTAACTAAATAGGTTTTTAGAGTTTGGATAGCATCTTTGTATGCTGTAGAGGTGATTTGACCACGATGACGGTCCCTAAAAAGTGCGAGAAGCGAAACATATCAATAATTTTTTATCTCAGCAGCTTTAAAATAAGTAAATACAAAGCTGCAGGTAATCTACGCTATCATCAAAGAAACAATAAAAAACACAATACACTTGTGTAAAATTGACTGACAACAAAATCACGATGGTGAACGAAACAGGATACCACTTATCAGTATTTATCCAACTAATTAACACTGATGAGAGTTCTTTATACAGCAGACAGTGGCATATGCCAATATTGGACACCATGCGACTCAAACGTCACTCAGCTTGTAAACAGTCGGGTGTATAACCCATCGCTGCAGGCAGTTTTACTTTATGCCGGTGAAACCTGAACTCCGCGCTGTTGATGACCGGCAACTCGGCGTTTGATTACCGTTGTTAGGGTAGGAGTGGTAGCACACAACAGGAAAACTGTCGAAACGAAAATATCGAAATACACTAATTATGTTCATGCTCATGCAGCAGGCAGTGAGACGCACCTGGTTGCTGAGACCTCAACAGGTGAAGCATGGTTCGAACCCGTGACCCACTAGTTGAGATTGGAATGTCTAAACCACTGAGCCACAATGGCATCACGTAAGTAATTCTGAGTTAGGGTGAAGTGTGTTCGGATGTGACAGAGGTTATCATTCACTTTAGTGAAGTTATCCTGAAACACCGGCTTCGGTGATTTGTAAACGTCCCAGGGGCTCCGAAACTGCTAACTATCCGCCTCCTCTAGGACTGGTTAGTTGAAGTGGAGACATGGTCCGTGTATGACATGTCACTGTGGGACGAAGGATAATTGTTCTGGGTTGGCATTTGTTGACAACTCACTAATTTCCAGAAGGGGTCCAAGAGATTAAGCGACTCAATGGTTTGAGACGATAACAGACATGGTTCGAGATCGGAAACAAAGGTGACCATGCTGCAACTTCGGAGTTTATTCTGTTACTGAAAAGTAAAACGAAAGCAGTGAATGCTTCCCTGAATACATCTTTAACAATGCTTCTCTAATAACCTTTTTCTACTTTTGTTTCCATTGTTCCTCTTTCTGCAAGAAGTTTTTTTCTTTCTTAGTAGTTATCGATTATATTGCCGGGCACATCTCTTGGTGCCCATGTTCAGCTAATTTGATGCTTTACATTTTTTAAAATTGTATCAGCAAAGAAGTGGTCTCAAGTAGTTTTACCAAGCACTTACGTTCTCCGTACGTCAGATAGAGAGGAAACCAACGTAGAACCTTGCACAGAAGTGCATCGGTTCAACTTGCTACACTCAGCAGTAGCATGCAAAGAACAAGTGGACAGAAAAAGACTTAAGTGAAAACAGACAAAGGTGCATAGGAAAGAAACAATTTGAAAATGAAAGTTAGTGGAAATATCCAGGTTATGGAAGACGTAAGAAAGAGAATACATCTGCGCCAATGTGACATATCTTCAGTCACTTCACCAAGTCTCCATTTTGAGGACCCCAACCAAACAATCTACACCTCCCTATATGGCTTAGACCAGGAGTTGGGGACTTCATATACTGGTGTCACGTCTGGGCCTGGCCAACCTGAGACCTTTTCCAACCTGATCAAACTTCTGCTGGTATCAGATGTCGAGGTAGGCGGATGATCGGCATACGCAACACATGTCCAAGCCACTTCACTTGCTGAAGGTTCACAACCTCACCAACTGAACTGTCTTTCTTGCCTAGTACCATTCACCTGACCTCTACATTGCTATCATGATGATGTCACTATACACGAGGAATGCTAAGAAGACACCTGTGGTCGAAAACCTATGGTCTCTTCATATCTTCTAGTTTCAAAGGCTATGTCTCACAGTAGTCAATTCCGACGAAAACTTTCCACAAGCTGTGTGAGTCTGAGTAAACAGTTCCGACTAGCGTTGCATACCTTCACACTCCTTTCACAGTCGGACACTGCCAAAACACCTGACGGTCGACAGAGTCACATCCCGACTTTAGGTCGGAGAATATGGCAAGTGTTGGCGGCTGGTAAGTGTGCCTGTGTCCCAGAAAATGCCGAAGGGTGAGACTTGCTCGATGCACCTTCGTCCCGACTTGAAACCTGCCTGGTTCTCTCGAGCTCCAGTTAGGAGTCGGATAACTACGGACCCCAGGATTCTGAATACAGTATTATTCAGATTGATTCCCCTATGGTTATAACAAGAAGACTTACCTCCTTTCTTATAGACTGGAATGATCAGTGAAGTAGGCCAGTCTGATGAGACTACCATTTGATTCCCATACGCTACCTAGTACTTCTGTCACTCTACTCTGTAGTTTTTTTACATCCATGCTTCTAAACTATGTTGAAAAACCAACAGAATATGCTGTCTGGCATCGTTTCAAGTTTCATATAGCCTCCTCAACTTCAAAGAGAGTTGGAGGAATGAAACCTACTTCCCAATCAGACCGAATGCTAGACAGGTCAAGAATGGCTACAGGTCGATTGAACTGCGAGTCAGTGTTCTGGCTAACGTTCTATCCACCTGCTCTGCAAGGTTATCAGAGTCATATCCTTTTCAACGATGGTCTCAATTACCATCTTCTTCGTGCCAATATCCTTCATAAGCCTAAATAATTGCCAAGTACTACCTAATGCTGATGTTTTCTCCTCCCCTTTCGCTCTCGCCAGTGCTTACGATCACTGTGAAAACTATAGGTCAACTTGCGTTACTTTCGTTCCTGATTGTGGTTAGAGCCACGAAATATGAGTTTTCTCTCATCAATCAATTTGGATAACACTGCGGGAATCTACTGACTTTTGAAAACACAAGGATGTAGGCTAACAACGGTCTTAACCGTTATTTTCACAAGAGACTGAATATTACGTCAAGTACTGCTGTCAAATTGAGATGAATGATTAGCTATCACTTCCCTAAATATGTATCTAAACGCTGAAGTCACCTGTTGTTATGACTATACTTAAACATTTCGTTTTATATAGAAAAACTAACATCTTTTGAAAGAATTCATCCGTTGCATCATCAGAACTACGGTCGGTGAGAGCTGCTGACTGGTATCCCGTCGAGAAGTGCACATTTTCTACAACTGAATGTTATGCCTACACCAGTGAGTCTATTGAATTCCCAAACACTTTCAAGGTGATTTTTGAAGATTCATTGCACTGGCCAGATGACGTCAAGGTAATAACCGCACTTGAGCCCTGTATATGTCTCATAAGCACTGTATCCATCCATAACTTGAGATACTAATTCTGCCAAGAAATGCTTGTTGTCCAGTTTGTCGCAGGCTTTGGATGTTGAAGGGACCAATTTGGAACTGACAGAGATGTTTTCAAAGACTAGGAGTGGTCCTTCGCCGGCTTGGATCGTTGGCGACGGTTGCAGAGAGAGAGAAAGTTGTAAAAGGATTAATATTGGTACCAGGAAGTAAAGTGAATAGAGGAAACAAATGTAACAAATGCAGGCTATGTTTGATTGGATTCTGTACACTACTGAAAGCTTTTGAGCATTTGACACTCCCCACCTCCCCAAACCATGGAATACTAGTTGTCTTTGAAGTACCTGAAAAAGAAAGATTGGTGCGTGACCGCAGAGCACAGGTGATATCTGCTTCAGGCAGGTTACACATAGCCTTTATGGAACTTTAAGGTTTTAGTCTGCTTTCTTAGAATCCAACTACGAACCAATACCATCGGTAACGGTATGCCATGAGGTAGAGGCGAGTGTGCTCTTTTTAAGGCTGACCTGTTACAAGCGCCACTCCCATAGGAGAGGTAACATCAGCGTCCCACTGCTCGTCATCCGCGCGAAACACCTTACTGCTGTTGCACCCCCAGTCAGCCAACAGTACGACTTCATCCTCAGATATCTATTATAGCGTAGTAAGTTAAACAATAACGATAATTTCTTTCACTATCCAACTGGCGTTTCTGGCACAGTAGGAACTCAAGGAAACAAGCATTCCACTAGCATAAGTCGCGTTATTTTGATACGCAAGTCCAATCTTCACATCAGGGTAGTAGCTGTGAGTCCCATATGTAAGTTAATACGACGCACTAAATATATTTTTTAGGCTCATGCTACCCCTGACATTAGAGAAAGACACTTGAAAAAATATGGTTGTGAGAGGCTGCAATGTAATGTCAATACATTTTCGTACAGACAGTTCACGAAAGTATCTGTTACTTCGGTTGTACGTACAAAAGAATGCAAACATTGATACTAAAAGCTATTCAAAGAAAATATTTCCAGAAATTCAATAGCAGCGTATTGATACAGAAGTAACGAAGCCTTAGAGAAATGCCATGATATATATGAATTTGCTCCTAAATTTCTTCCTGAAACACTAGATGAAAAACTTAAGGGATGTATATAATATATTGCGATTACTATGCAACATACGCCATAAAATAATGTCACTTCAAAGGTTTGTACATAAAATCGTATGAGGGCATAGTTTTAGTTATTGCAGGACCACCAATAAGAAATGTAGACAAACGACAATCCTCATACCAAACGAAATTATGCCTGGCAATAAGTATAAGAAGCATTAAAAATCAGATGGAAATAAAGCCAAATAGACAGTTCGTATAGCGAAGGAGCTCAAAAAAAGAAACGTTTGAAGCAGCTTCTCACAAGAAACTCGAATAAATAAACGACAGTAATTATATCAGTGGTGGATCGTGGCTAGCAGTGGAATCCAGGATGCGCATTTCTTTCTATTCGGGACTCGTCAGCTGGGTGTACCTGCTTCCCAGTGAGTGATGTTGTTCCCACCGGGATTCGGACTCGGGAGCGATCGCCTCAAACGTTATCCACTACACCACCGAGCCACGATATCCACTTCTTGTGAGACGGGCATAGTTTTAGTATACTTATCTTTACAATGATACCGTCGTTGCTTGGACCGAATTGATCGGTCTCTATTGACATATAGGCTTCTGTGCGGATGCCTCGAATCCCGGTGGGAACAACACCACTCACTGGGAAGCAGGTACACCTAGCTGACGAGTCCCAAATAGGACGAAATGCGCATCTTGGATTCCACTGCTAGCCACGATCCATCATTAATATAATTACAACGCAGGCAATATCGAGGCATCCGCACAGGAGCCCATATGCCAATAGAGACCGATCAATTCGGTCCAAGCAACGACGGTATGATATAAAAACAATTATACTAAACGACACAACACCTACATGAGTATGGGTCGAACGGCCAGATGACAGTAGGTATGTCTAGTTTGTAGACACGTTGCCGTAGAGGAACGACTAAAAAAATATGCTAAGTTCAGCTATTTTACTTCATTCAGCTAGTATAAGAATCTGAAAAAAGGTAGAGAAAGACGTGAGCTGACAACTTACAAACTAAGTTGAAATGCAATCATGTCAATTGATGTTAAAAATACACAAACGAAAAATGTTAACATTTAATGACAGCCAATCAAGTTTGAGTTTAGTCTAAACTTCATTGATCAAGTAGGTGAATGCTCGCGCAGAATGTTATTTGAGGGCATGAGAAAGACTTTGTCATCTGGATATTAGAACTTCATTGAACACTATATGTATATAGGACGACTAAGATGTGAATACTGTGGTTACATTTGCATCAATGAGATCGATTCTGAGCCACGTTACCAAGTCTCCAACCACTGATTTAAGTTGTCATGCAGATTCTAACCAGGAAGTCTACATTCATCTACAGAGCTGGAACCACGAGCCAGCCAGACTCGATGAGCTGATGTCATGTTTCAGTTTGGCCTCCTTTAGGCATTCCACCCTACTTCGAATGACACTGACAGTCGGGATAGACGTCAACTACACTTGCGTAGCACACGTCCCAAGCATGAGTCAATAAACGTCTACAACATCAACTAATTGACCCGACTTCTACCATGAAATTGAAAGCGATTAAAAAACAGAAACCTCATGCTTTTTACTTTCGACGACTGTTTTATAGATATAAAATAATTAATGTGGGTCGTTTCGACACAAGAAGTAAACATTTCGTTCATACCCTACGTGAGGTGGGAACTGGTAGTTTCATGTGCCTAGGGGGTGACACTCTGTGCACTTGCGACCTGGGTGTACCTGTAGCTTGCCCAGTTTCAGCGGGTAACTTTTGGGAGCTCGCGTCCTGTGATAACTAAGGTTGTACCACGTTCTTTAGTTTGCCGGTAGCACTGATACCGGGTAATTTCTGACACACTGGACATATGTGCTACATCTACTTGCATGGGTGCTTTATCATGAAGCTGTACTACTGACCTAGTATACCCTTGTCACAGCCACAGCGCACCCACTTTAGGCAAATTTTGCACGTAAAGGCTTCTTGGGCCTCAGACACTGATGCGTTGCATACACTATAGTCGTCAGAGGTTTGCTCTTTTTTGACGAATATGATCTGCTTTTGTGAGTTGTGGTCAATTATAGCGTGTGTCGGTATACTCGCTTGTCAACATCCGCGTTTCCCCACCTTTTGCTTTTTACCAACGGGATGTTTAGAGGTGTATTACTATCACTTTGAGTACATGAGCTTACCGGTTTCGATAAATGATGTAACTGGTGTGAAACTGATACACGGATGCTGTAGGAATTGTCATGCTTATTTTCTCTGCACAGACTAGTTTCTGTCCGTCTGCTGACCCCGTTATACGAGTTGCAGCTTGTGACCTGTTTCGCCATACAATCATAGTTAAATTGTGCTTAATATATGTATTATATAAAAGAAGTGAGGAAAGGGCATAGAAGATACCTTACCGCCAAGAACTCGATATTCAATTTTTTTTCAGCAACTTTAACCGAATACTGTGCGTTTGCATGGACCAAGAAAGATATTTCTTGGTGCATGATCTCCGAAAACAGTGGGAGACTATACCAGGTGGATAGTCTAGCCAGCTACGAAGCACGAGCAGGAAGTAGTTTCGAGCTGAGATGATGGTGATGTCTTTAGGAGTAGCAATTTTCACGTCCAGTTGGTTAACTGTGTTCAGTGTTACGATATGATTGAGACGTTTTCCGGCGATGAACACAGTTGTATTGAACTTTAGATTGGATATGAACAAAGGACGACGTTATTTAAATAGAGCGTCAATTACAATCGCTTCTGATCGTATTGCTCCAGTGTCCAGAGTTAACAGCCAAGTAACACCACAGTGAGTTTAGCTAACCCCTTATGTTGTGCCAAACTAAAAGAATTAAAACTATTATAGTCTTTCAGATAGTGACAAAGCAGTCCAGGTTTCAAAACTAGCAACAAAAGAACACTGAAATACATAAAGTAGCAACTGTGAATCCCGGAGCGACCTTGACATCGTGATCACCGCCAGTGTTCATCAACAGTATCCACTATCCAATATTGATAGTGCGAGAGTAGAAAGCTGATAGTTTTTGGTCTCTCGTATCTAGTTCTTAGGGCTTGAATCGATTTTTTCTGTTCAGTCATGCAGTGGACGAGGAAATCCCCTCCGCTTTCTTGCCTTTGGCCTCGGTGAGGTGGATGTTTTGTCGGTTAGTAAGATGTAATGTGTAGAGTGACTGGGGAGCTACGGGTTGCTGGGAGGATTAGGGGACTGCTGTGACTCCTGTCTATGTAGGTGCCTGAATAAGAATAGCAAGGCGGTGGTGAAGGGCTGAGGCAGAAAAGCGAAAATAATGGAGGAGAAAAAGGAAGAGAAAGGAAGAAAAAGGTGAAGAAAGGAGGGGTGAAGAAGAGGAATAAGGAAGAGAGAGAAGTGAATTGCCTCAATGGTTGCTTGGGTTTAGTTCCTACAGAGGGATTAGTAGGTAATATGGGTTTTTTAGGGGGAGAGGCAGTGAGTGGTAGGTGGGAGGGAGTTGAGGGTGGTCTATTGCGTTCAATGACTACCTGAGTACGTCCGCGGTAGGCCGTGCGAAGTGACACAACTGTCTAGCCATTTCTTGAATGAGTCGAATGAGGGAGCTATAACTATATGCCGTGGTAAGGCATTCCATAAATCACATACTGTCAGGGAGAAAAATTGATCCGAGCATGGTGTTGGCCTCCTGATGGGCTATCTTAATGGGGTTTCCTCATGAAGACCACTGAGTTGCAGGCAAAATTGATTTGTTTGCGTGGTCTACCTGATGGGTGATCTTGTATGCCATAATAAGATCACCCCTCGTCCTGCGATAACCCAAGGTGTTTAAGCCTTTCGGGACTTGTTGCGGTTCTCTGCGTTTTTCCAAGGAGATTAGAGTCTCTTCTGAGTATCGAGGAAACCACCGTATTGAAGAACTCTAGATGCGGCAGCACGTACCAACATCCAATATCCAATATCCTTTCCCGAGCTAGCGTTAACGAATTGATTTCTTCGCTCTCGCTACTAGTTTTTGCGGA